GACAGTGCCTCAAGCTGTCCCCCTGGGCAGAGTGCCGTGGCATTATAGCTCACAACAACCTCCAACTCCTGGGCTCAAGTGAGTCTCCTGCCTCCACCTCCCAAGTTGCTGGGACCACAGGCGCCTGCCACAACGCCTGGCTATTTTTTTTCGGTTGCAGCTGTCATTGTTGTTTTGCAGGCCCGGGCTGGATTCGAACCCGCCACCTTAGGTGTATGTGGCTGGAGCCTTAGCCACTTGAGCCACAGGCGCTGAGCCTGATTTTGTTTCTTTAAAAGGAACATGAATGTTCCAGGGCCAAACATGTTTCATGTTTTGGCTCTGCTGCCCAATTTGTTTTGACATCAATATAAAAACAGACAGGACTAAGTTCCCAGTGGAGAATACTTCTCTACACATCCCCACTGTATCTTATTTCTTTGCCTCTCTCTGAGAGAGGGCTGGAACTGAATGGCGAGTTGCACCTTTGCCCAGGAGCCTATGATTAACATCTTCCTTCCCTTGTTCCCACCCTAGATTGTGGGTGTCCTTTGAAATCTGTTCTGCTTCAGACATTTAAAGAACAGCCTCATCTAATCCTGCTCAAGCAAAATCTGAAAGTCCTTAAACAACAAAAGGTCTGGTGTGGCCAATCTTATAGCTTATGGCAGCCCCATGAACTTTGACCTAAGTTTTAGGTCTCATTATATTTTGGCCTTTCATATAAGGTGACCAGACGTCCTGCTTTTGGCGGGACAGTCCCGATTTTTAACAATTTGTCCTGTGTCCTGTGGTGTTTTAAAAAAGCCCTGATTTTTGGAAAGAATGCATGACAAGCTAGGGAATACAGGAGAACAGGAAGGGAATATACGGTTTCGGCTGCCATGTGGCTATTTCGCCAGGATATGCATTTTATATTATTTTTGTTAATTTTAGAATGTTAGACTTTAATAATAACAAATAATTGTTGAGAACTGATTATTGAGAACTGCTTATCAAAGTTTGCATTGTTGTCAGCCCCCCCACCCCCAATGGTGTCCCGCTTTACCAATGTTAAAATCTGGTCACCTTACTTTCATAGTAACACTGGAAAAAACGAAAAACAAAACAGGTTTTATGTAAATGGGGTTAGGGCCAGGTAGAGTGGTAGGAGTTGCCTGAAATTGAGAGTGAAACATACAGTTATTACCCCAAACCTATTTTCCTTAAAGCTGAGGGTAGTGGCCAAAGTACATACTCAGAGCACCATCTGCCCTGAGAAAGGGCATCTGAATATCCTCTCTACGGAGGTCTCTGTGCACACTAATCTATAATGTCCTTAGTACCTTGGTTGTTGCTTGTGATCATACACTCTGCAGACCAGTCTTCAGGGATCACAGGGGCAACGAGCTCAGCAAACTTCTCCAGAGGACAGCTGTGGGTGCAGCCTGGTAGAATGAGGGGGTGTGGCTCGTGCTGTGTCTCATTCCGGTAGTACATCTCCAAGAAGTACTGCCTGAGGGGAAAAGGCAGACAGGAGGGCCCTGTGAGCTCTGTGTTGCTGAAAAGCCACTGAATGTCTTTCTACCTGGACTGTAATATGTCAGGCGAGGGACCAGTGGAAAAACTTTTGGTTAGGTTTTCTGAAGTTACCAGAATTAAAGCCTTAGCTGTTCCTTTTGTTCTTCCAGCAGATTTTACAACCACATGCTCCTTCAATAGTCCATTCAGCTTTGAATTTGCAGGTACTTGGAACATTATTACCTTTCTAATTTTGTTTCAGTTTGGTATGGGAATGAGGAGATTTTTAGCCAATACAGGTGTGGGAATGGGGAGATTGAGACAGGTGGGACAGGTCTGGAAAGTGGAAATGGGAAGGCTGGTTTGTTAGATCTACAGAGGCATAGGAGGTAGAGACCAAGATGCTTTGGGAGAGGAGGAGCTGAGAGGTGATAGCTGGGGGAGCTGTTGGGACTTTGAATAAGAAGTGGGGGCAGGTGAGGGGATTGGGGTTTTTTTTCTCCTTCTCTCTTCTTTTCTGGCTTTTCATTTGGTCTTTCCTCTTTTTTCTCTTTTCCTCTCTCACTATTTCTTTCAGTTTCCCACCTGGATGTATTTCCCCTGGATGTATCTCCCCTCTCCTAAACTAGGCCATAAACATGGAACTGAATAATTTATAACTTATGTACTTAAATATATGGCCAGGCTTTATCAGAAAAGTATCCCATAGAAAGAGGGAGTGGGTAAATATACAAGTGCATACATTGTGTCATATTAAGAAGGGCTTACTCAATACTCTATTTCAAAAAACAAAGTACTGTTTGGAGGCCTCAACTAACCTCAGTAAAACTAGTAATGAGTTCCTTATTGAAGTCACTTGTCAATTAGAGAAGGAGAGAAATTCAGGTCGGATTTAGTGACCCTTCTTGGGGTAGTAACCTCACCATTCCACCTTTTGGATGTTGTTATAAACAAATCTTTTCAAATATCAGTTTAAAAAGCCACATAAACATAGTAACTGCAGATATTAACTTATAAATATGTTTTTTAAAACTTTCCTAATATTATATGAATGAGTATATCTTATATCTTAGAATGACTTTTCCAGTGATAGTATCTTCTGTCTCACAATAATTGGCCTACATGACCAGCTATATGTCATGACCAGTTGTATGTCAAAATTCATGATTCTCTTTCCATAGAATAGAGTTAGACCTCAGAAGTGACTATGTTTTCCAGACTCCTTCACCTAAGTGGGAACAAATCATTAATTAAAATTAGTAGAATGCAAGCAGAAATGATATGTCTTCTTTGGGCTGAAGTGGTTGATACCAGGTTGTCTTCTCTGCCCTTTCATTCCTTCCTATAAGCTGCCTGCAGATAAGCATAGCCCTTTTGAAAACGTAGGCCCTAATGAGGGAGCCCTGGGTGACTGAATCACTGCATGTGAATTACACTATGGGGGACTCACTTCCTGTGGACCAGTCCTGCATTGGACTGTTAGATAAGACAGAAATTAATTTCCATTGGGTTAAATCTCTGAGAATTTGAGGTTCATTTGTACAGAAGCCAAAATTACCCTTAGTAGTGAATGTATCTGGAAAACAGGACTCAAAATTGATTCTAGTGGTAAAGACACCAGGCTAAAGATGCATACCAAGAGTTTGGATAAAACTGCTTCAGAAAACGTGACAATGGAAAACAGCAACATTTTCAACTTAATGATTTTATTAACAGATAATCTGTAGTTTTAAATTTATGTACCTAATTAAATATTAAAACTTTTAAGTATATATTTAGTTATCTTATCTACAACCTGACCAGTTTATATATTGAAGATAGTTGAAAGTATAAAATATTCTTCCTTTCTGTCTCCTTTCTTATTTTTTCACAGGGAAAAAGTGGTATCACCTCGTGGTCAGGATCATCTAACAAGCAGCCGTGTACAGTATTTGACAACTGGAAGTCTCCTTATTCCTAATTTAAAAGGAATCGAGTTTAACCTTTGATATTTCTCTGGAGTGCCCAGAAGAAAAATCCCAATATAACAATAAATCTGACTTGATCTGTATGTAGCTCTTGGTCAATTATTTTTTTTTTGTATGTCAGTGTATCTCAGTTGAAAAAATATTTTACCCCATATTTGATTCATAAGATGGATTTACTCAAAGCAGTATGAAAAACTGCAGTAGGAGAAACATTTTCAGTGGGAAAAAAAATGTGGTTAGACCCTAATAAAGTAAGCTCCACACCTTGTGGGTACAGAAACCAGAAAGGAGGAAGGTCTGTATAATGTCCATATCTTCTCTTATCTTACCCCTGAAGAGATGGGGCCTGCTGCTAGAGCTGATCCTGGGATTTTGGCTGGGCTTATTAACTCTGTGTCCAGAGATGGCCTTCAAAAGGGTAGATTTGTGCAGGGCTTGTTATACAGAGAGCATTTTAAATAAGTCTCTAGTCCTCTCACTCCCAGTTTATGCTCTATTTGGCTAGTCTCCATTTTATGGGTCTTGTCTCATCCAGATATTTGAGGGCAGGGTTAGCTAAGACCACATTTTAGTTCTACTACATTATGCCTGGCACCCAGTTAGAGGTGCCATAAAGGGTCTATCTCCCCGTCTCTAATGGAAGGCCTCTTCCACCAATAATACCCTGTGGAGTCTGGTAACTTGCCCCAAACACCTTTTTCTTTCCAATGAGAATGCCATTGTCACAGCATATACAAATCTTTGGTATGACCATGGCTATGGTGATCAACTCTGTCTAGTTTTCCTGGAACATTTCTAATTTTATCAATGAAACCCACATGTTCCACGGACTCCCTCTATTCTGGGTAAACTGGGAAATTTGGCCTCTTTAACACTTCTGGTGAGTGCAAGCTAGACCATGATCAGCTAGGGAGGGCCATATCAGGTCACAACAAGGTAAACAATAGTCAGAAGATGTACTTTAAGAATCTTGACTAATGGATATAAATCACCAGAAAGTGAATGGATACGTTTAAAGTCTTTGATTGAAAGAATATTATTATATAACCATCAAGAAATTTAATTTTTCTCTTGCCATCCATCAGCCTGTGTTTTCCAAGAAAATAATGTAATGCTTACATGAATTAAAAAAAATTAATTTAGGTCACTTAGGGTAGTTCTTTCAATTTTTCATCTACTGTGTATGCACACTGTATCCCAATAAAAGTATTCATGAAAACAAAGAAAAAAAGAGCCATGACTAGCAAAGATACTGTTACCACCATTTTTCTCTCTGAATATAAAACCAAGCCAGAGGTAGACAGACACAACAATACTTTAGTCAACAATAACAAAACCTGGAGTCAGTGATGCTGATTTTGCAAAGCACTTACCCCTTGTCCAGGTACAGTTCCATAAAGTGACAGGAGGCATAAGGAGGAAGCATTCCGTTGTAAACATCTAGCGCCATCTGTAGGCCACTCACAGTAGTATCATGCTGCAAAGATGGAAGTCCAACATTTTTTAAACCTCTAGTTTAGATTTACAATCAATGCATACTTAGTACTTGCAGAACACCATGATGACTTCTGATTTGATTAAACTTCCTATATCCTCAATGACTTAGTAAGTAGAGAGGAAAAAAACATTTTCCATGTGCTAGGCAGTAATTTACATAAATACCATTATTTCCACTTAAAAGATGGAAAAATTAAAACCTAGAGAAGTAACTTAATGTTACATAACTCCCAAATGGAGGAAAGTAAATTCAAACTGAATTTTATGATTTTAAGTCCTATCGCTTTTCCCAGTAAAGCCTATCTCTCCTTTAGCTTGTTTCATTATTTTCATTAAATTTTAAAGTATTTTGAAACACATAAATACTAGATTACATTTTTCTAAAGATTAGCTTATCTGGCTTGGTGCCTGTAGCTCAGCGGCTAGGGTGCCAGCCACATACACTGGAGCTGGCGGTTCTAATCCAGCCCAGGCCTGCCAAACAACAATGACAACTACAACCAAAAAATAGCTGGGCATTATGGAAGGCACCTATAGTCCCAGCTACTTGGGAGGCTGAGGCAAGAGAATTACATAAGCCCAAGAGTTTGAGATTGCTGTGAGCTGTGATGCCACGGCACTCTACCAAGTGTGACAGCATTAAGACCCTGTCTCAAAAACAAAAACAAAAACAAAAACATTAGCTTATCTGTGATTCAAAGTCGTGGGAGAGTGTATGAGGTTATAAATGTTTAGGATAGATAAAATTTAAGGAAGTTGAGGGTGCAGCTTATAAATTATAAAGTTAACTATTGATCTCAGAGTGGCTGGAAGGCATAGGGTAGTAGTTTTCTATGCCAGGTTTGCCACTGATTAGCTACCTAATCTTAGCAGATCCTTGGTTTTCATATCTGCAATAGGGAATAAGATTTGGCTGCCTAACCCATATGGCAGCATATGCATATTCAAAAGGGGTTAGGGCTCGGTGCTTATAACACAGTGGTAATGGCGCTGGCCACATACCCCAAGGGTGGTGGGTTTGAACCCAGCCCAGAGCCAGCTAAACAACAGAGACAACTGCAACAAAAAAAAACAGCCAGGTGTTGTAGTGGGCACCTGTCCTCCCAGCTACTGGGGAGGCTGAAGCAAGAGAATTGCTTAAGCCCAAGAGTTTGAGATTGCTGTGAGCTGTGATGCTACAGCACTCAACCAAAAGCAACATAGTGAGACTCTGTCTCCAAAAAAAAAAAAGGGTGGTGCCTGTGGCTCAGTGAGTAGGGTGCTGGCCCCATATATCAAGGGTGGTGGGTTCAAATGTGGCCACGGCCAAACTGCAACAACAACAACAAAAAACAGCTGGGCGTTGTGGTGGGCGCCTGTAGTCCCAGCTACTTGGGAGGCTGAGGCAAGAGAATTGCCTAAGCCCAAGAGCTGGAGGTTGCTGTGAGCTGTGACGCCATAGTAATCTACTGAGGGCAACAAAGTAAAACTCTGTCTCTAAAAAAAGGGGGGGGGGGATTAGAAGCAATCTAATGGAGAAAAGAAGAAAGTTTCAGATATGACTTACTAGAAAGCACGTAACAAGTAAAAACGAAACCAGATTAGAAACTAAAAAAACTGGCTGAATTGAGTAATTGCAGGGCTGCCTCTCTCCAGGAAGCACTATACTCTGCTCCCTCTGTGGGTTATTAACTTAGTCTGTTTCATTTAGAGCCCTGACAATAAGCAAAATTCCCTATTGTGTATCTTTAATCACCTTTCACATTCTTGGATGAAAACATGGCTTTCTTCAGCCAAACTTCAGCTAAGAAATTCTTTGTGCTGGGGAATAGGAGGAAGAGTCAGCATGCTATATCCTGTTTCCCTGTTCATCACAGACAACCCAGCAGGCACTCGAATGCAGGACACATCCATAGAATTTCCCCCAACACTGCCCTTTCCCTTGGCTTCTGTTCCAAGATAGAAGTCTTTCATCTCCAAGATTTCTCTCTCTCTTTTCTCTCTTTTCCCAATGGTAGCCCCAACCATAAGCTGCAATTCTCCTTCCCTTTCCCTCTTCTGTCCTTTACTATCTATCTGGAGTTTTCTGCTTGGATGCCCCTGTGGCAAGTCAAACCCCTTGTCAACGCAATACATTCTCCTGGCCCAAGATCACTTCTGTTACCTGTTCCACCCTTCTTCTTTCCAGGGAGACCTGAAAGCTTGCCTCCCTCTGTTGTTTCACTTTCCACATCATTTCCTTCCACTCTCATTCCCATTCATCACTGAGACATGCACACTCAGCTTTCCTTGCAACCCACTTACCTCTTTTCCCATCCTATTGCTGCCTTAGTTTTAGGCTGTCTCTCCATTTTTCTACATTACAAAGGCTTTCTGTACTATAGCCTGCTCCAAACATCTAGTCATTCTATAGGGAGTATTAATTTCTGAAATGCTGTGCCTATCCCATCAGCCCTGCCCTGCTTCCCTGCACAAACACCGCAGGGCCTTGTCCTCTGCCTCCTTGCTACTCTCCACATTAACCAAAGCAGCCACAGTACAAGATGGCCGTAAGCTGCCTTCCAGTTCCAACTTTTTTTTTTTTTTGAGACAGACCCTCAAGCTGTCCCCCTGGGTAGAGTGCCATGGCATCACAGCTCACAGCAACCTCCAACTCCTGGGCTCAAGCGAGTCTCCTGCCTCTGCCTCCCAAGTAGCAGGGACCAAAGGAGCCCGCCACAACACCTGGCTATTTTTTTTTTTTTTTTTTGGTTGCAGCCATCATTGTTGCTTGGCGGGCCCGGGCTGGATTTGAACCCGCCACCTTAGGTGTATGTGGCTGGCGCCTTAGCCACTTGAGCCACAGCCTCCAGTTCCAACTTTTGAGACTCAGTATCAGGCTATCTAATAAAACTTTCTGTAATGATGGAAGCATTCTATATCTGTACTGTCCAACTGAGTAGCCACTGGCTATATAAAATGTGGCTAGTGTAACTGAAAGACTTAACTTTTCATTCTATTTAATCGTAATTACTATTAAAATAGTTACATGAGGCTATTAAGTTTTGGGCAACATAGTTAACATTTACTCAGAGCTAACTTTTCCATATAATGTTCCAGGCCTTTCACCTCTATCCTAATAATTTGTATGTCCCACACACAGGTGAGGGGTCGCATACAAACCTCCTCCATCTTGTTTGGGATGAGCTGCTCCTCCAGGAAGACTTCCTGCTTCTCTTTTCATCCTTTCAGAACAGAAGAGACGGCTCCCTTTTCTGAGACACTAGGACACTTGATTGCATGGCATTTCCATACTGTTTTGCATGGTATTTACTTGTTTATATTCCTTCTTGTAAGTATTAGATTATAAATCCCTCAGAATGATGCATTTAATTCTAAAAATTCTGTGCAGGTACTACCCTCTTCTGAGTCATGAAGATGAGGCCCCATGCTCTGAGAGATTATGCATTTGAACAAATGGATATTAAATGAAGACGAAAATACTTACTCCAGAGTACATGATAAGTTTTCTGTAGCTTGCGGCCTGGGTTGCACTCTTCATGTGATTGAGGATTTCTTTGACCAGAACACCTTAAAGGAGATAGGTAAACACTGCAGCAGAGCCAGACACAGGCTCATCTTTTAGTTCTCGGGTTCTTTGTCACTTCTTAGGTGGGGGCTCTCCCTGCCATGACTTGAGAAGCAAAGACTCACTTTTGGTTAAGCATCTGACGTGTGCTATAAATGGTTTATACACATGTTTTACTGAATCCTTAGTCTGTCTTATCCCTCACTTACAGGTGGGAAATCTGAAGCCCAGAGACATTAAGCCACTCAATGGGAGGAAAACAAGAGCTGCACTGGCACACTAGGACCATGAGACCAGCTTTGTTAAGGCCCAGGTTAGGAGGCTGATATGCTTGGAAGGAACTGCAGATGGCATTTCAGATCACACAAGACAACTGGTAGCCAGTGCCCTTCTCCAGAGCAGACCTGAAATGACACTTGCAGGCACTTGCCTGTCTTCACCCCTCTCCTTCACTCTCTGGCAGTCAGACCCACCGGAGGCCATGGGAGAAGGCAGCTGTCTAGATGACTACACAGGTCATGGACGGTTATCTGTGGGCCATTTCTCTAGGTTACCTTAGGTATCACTATTAGGGGGTAACCAGCATCTTTAGCTTCTTCCTGAGGTTCTGTCTTTGGTACAGGAAACCTTTTGGCCTTCATATCCAGAAACCTAACTGCCGTTGCTCCTGAGGTGGAGTGAGGCAGATGAACAGCCTTCAGTCCTCACCTTATTTTCAGATGCTGCAGACTTGGGGCACCTTGTGGTTGGTGCCAGACTCTGTTTCTGAGGGCCATGTTGCCTCCGGAACTTCCACAGTTGGTCTCTCTGTTATGCATGTGCTTTCCTGGCTTAAGAATGACCAGTGGGGTGTGTGTGTTTGGTAATGTGCAAGGCATTGATGTTAACAGACTGATTATGATCCCAGACTCTGCTGCCCAGCAGCTGTGATGGGCCTGATACTGTGCTAAGTGAATCAGACATCGGCCCCGCCCATAAAAGTCTCCTAAAATAGTAAGAAGAGATAAGTCTATGTACCAGTAAGCATAATAAGGGCTTAATTAAGGGGATGGGTGATTGCTCCTTCTATAGATGGTAGATTTCCTTAACTGTGAATGGAAGAAGTTAGATGCTGCATCTATAGCAGGTCTCAATCCCTTCATCCCAGGGAGGGTTGCATGGCTTGATCATCATGCCATGTTGATACTAAACTCTGTGGTCAAGTTTCTGAGAGGGATGACAGCCACTTGCAATCAGCAACTTGCCCTTTGTCAACAGATGCCTTTTGGTAATGAATATGATATCAGTTCTTGGCACTGGGATGACTATACCCCTGTCCCAGAAGTAACTAAGGGTGACTGTCACAATTATCCCCAGGCTCTAGCACACCAATATTCTGTTTTATAGGTGAAGAAGCTGAAGCTCAGAGAGGCTCAGCAACTTGTCTAAAATTATACAACTTATAAGAAGTTGGGCTTTGAATCTAGCATGGTAAAACCTTAATAATTAGAGCACACGGTAGCATAAAGCTACCTTCTAAGTTCCCTCCTGCATCCTTTATTAAATCTACATACACGAGACAAAATACCATTGCTCTGAAGACATAAACCTTATTTCCTTCATTCCTGGGCTGCAGCAGACATTGGCTAACCTTTCTTGTAAAAGGCCAGATGGTAAATGTTTTAGGCTTGATGTGTCAAAAGATCTGTTGTAATTACTTAACTGTGGTGGTAACATGAAAGCAGTCACAGACAATGCACAAAGGAAATGTGTGGGGCCACATTCCAATAACATTTCATTTACCAAAACAGGTGGTGGGCTGGGTTTGGCTGACAGGCAGTAGTTTGCGAACCAATTGTGTAGAGCAAGAAGAGATCACAACTGATTTGACCAGCCATATATTCCTAAATTAGCCTTAAGGGTATTTTCTATGTGTGTTTATGTGCATGTATGTATGTATCTTACTGAACAGTGACACTCTTGAAACTAAATGACAGAAAAAAAAAGATGCTGGTCACAGTGCTGATGTTGTTTCCCTGCTCTGTATCCCCCAGGTGAAGCACGTTTCTGTGTGGGAGCCTGCTAGCTGCTTCATTCAGCAAGCAGGGAGGTGACAAAATTCTCTCACATCTGAACAGCAGTCTCAGTTTGTGTTTTGGCAGAACCACACAGAAACGAATTTCCTGGCTGGCTCACTAACGGCACTGAACTTTGTCCAGAAAGTCAGATGGCTGGGTATACGTGACTGCTGGCCTTCAGAGCCCAAGACTAGAGTAGAACTCAGGGAAGGACTCTTACAGACAGAATCTAATTTAATCTCCTCCTCATATGGGAAAACTGAGATCCAGGGAGAAGTAGATGCTCTCAAATGCAATCTTCCAAGAGGCAGGGGAAGAGAAAAGTGGAAACGTGAGCAGATGCCTAAGATAAACTCTGCTTTTTATTCATATATCGATACCTCGGCACTAATTATTAGACTACTGTCAATACCTGTCTGGTATAAATCAAGTTGGAATTTTATTAGAATGCAGATTCCGATTCAGCTGGTTTGGGGGTGGAGCCTGAGATTCTGTGTTGCTGGCCAGCCACCGGGTGATGCCGATATTGCTGGAAAATGGACTGCACTTTGAGTAATGAGGGGCTAGACTTCTGAATCCGCCATGAGTAGGTTGGAGGAAATAAATCAAGAGTCCGCCTCCATCATATGATGACACTTGGGACTGAGTCATACTGATGGCACTTGGTAGGCGAGAAATGAGGCCTGGGGCATACGTGGCTAATGAGGTGTCCTCTGAATCTTTTGTTGTTAAGCACGGAAGACTGAGTTTCTTCCCAGGCTCTGCCCCTACACACAGTCTGTCTCCTGCCGAGTAAGTTTTCCCAACACTCCAGGTTCTATCTCAGCCTCCTCTCTTGATGCTCTCTCTTCTTCCAGCCTTTAATGTGGAGTAAGGACTTGTACATTTCTATAAAGTCTGCCTCTGTGCCATGCAGCCAGGACTCCGTTAACAGCAGGTCTGCAACATCCTCAGATCATTAACGGCCACTGTCTTAAAATTTTGTCTCAACCTACTTTGTTCATCTCATAAGAATTTGCTCCTGGCCATCCTGGTTTTATACCTCATGAAAAGCTACAGCTTGCCTCACTCTTTTTATCTGACACACAGCCCTGCTTTCTAGCTTTAATTGACCCCTCTTCTGGTCAGTGGTCTGAATTCTTTCTCTAATTAAGTGGCCCTGCGTGAACATCTTCCCAGTCTTATCTAGCCCCCAATATGCTTTTCCTGTATGTATTATCTTGGCATTCTGATGGACATGTCCTGATCCTGTGGTGAAGAGGGTCTGGCAATGGCTCGAATCCTGATGTGATTATTTTAATCTCTAGCCATATATTCTGTCTAGAATATATGTATCAGCCTGATGTGGAACACATCCTATGGCCTGGACTTTCCTCATTATGTCCACCTGACATGATGGACATTCTCTTGCTCTTCATCTTTAGTTTTAAGAATTAACACCTATATTAGTGACATCTAAACCTGAAACCCAGGAATCTTGGCCTGCCTATGCAGCTGTCCTTGCAGCCCCAGCATCTCTCTCTGTCCTGCCTGGTCCTGGGTTTTTTCTACCACCGGCTTATCCTAATTAGAAGGATTCAGCATTCTTTTTCCTGGGTCTACCTGCATTATGGCAGGGTGCCCTATCTCTAAAGGGCCAGTTCTAATGAAGAAGGGGCATCACTGATAAATAAGTCCCAACACCTTTCATCGCTAATGGAAAACTCCAAGCTGTGTCATGAACTTGTCAACTGCAGCAAAAATTACAGAGCATAATTAGCCTGACAAATGTATTACCAGCTAAAACAATGGCCACCACTCAGGGTTTTAAGAAAACAGGCCATTTTTATCATACTTCCCACTTGAAAAATTCATATTCTAGGCCACCAGAATGATTTTCACAGGCTCAGATAAAAATCCTTGATCCTTTAACATAGAAGGGATGGAAAGTATCATTTAGCTTTAGCCCAAAGCTTTTGTTTTCCAGATTAAGGTCCAGAGTGGGTGCTATTGACGATTATAGAAAAACCTGCTTATTAACAGTGTATTGTGTACAAAGTACTGCTTTTCCTAGGCCCTTTGTATACATACGTTCCTTTGAATCCATTCTGTGAAGTAGTTACCATTATCATCCCCATTGTGCAGAGTGGAAGCAGGTGAATAAGTGGCCTCAGGTCGTGCAGCTGATTAGAGAAAGCTCAGACCCAGATCATCCCGACATAGATCCAATAAGCTCCTCTCACTTTTTTGTACTTACCCCCCTGGAGTCTAGATTTCTCTTTCTGCTTGTGAATTCCATAGAGGGACAGGAGGGACAATTCTGATAATTCTCTCAACTTAGTCATGGTGTCCTTGGTAGCCCAGGAAGGTAAAGTGAAATTGTGAACACTCTGAAGCAAAGAAAAAAGAAACAAACTGTGGGTATATTTTAATTTATGACTGCCTTCTTTGTTCATTTTTAAATTTTTCTCTTGCCCCATAAGAATGACTGGGGCAATCTTTTTCAACCTGACATTTCTTTCTAAAAAAATTTTATATTGGGATAAGCAGTGGTATTGATTTTCAGAAGAAAAATTTAGAGGAACTAATTTTCCTGCTGCCAAGTCCATAGCATTTGGCTTAACTTTGAGACAATGGGTGATTCACATTTTGCAAAGTAAGAGTACAGTAGGGCAAGAATGTCCCTCATTCCTTTAGGGTTAGAAATATTTCTATGAACTTTCGGGAAAGACACAAGCTGACAGGGTGACGGCTCTTCCTTAAAAGCTGTATGGGCTGCCTGAGAGGCCAGTTTACAATAATGTACATCCATCCCGTCAACTTCTTGTTCAGGCTCTTGGGAAAAGTCTGCACTGCACATATTTGTTATTTTGTTAAATTGATGAGTAACTGCAAGCAGGTCATGTAGAGACCTTGTGACAATATTTATTACCTATTAGAAGAGTTGATAAGGAGTCTCCCAGTTGCAAAGGCAGGAATGAGAGAGAAAGAGTTCATGAAAGAGGAGACCAAAGCGAAGTGAGTGACCTACAGAGAAAATAAGCAAGATAGGAAAAAGTACCCTGTAATATGGCCACATTTTGCAATAGTGTCAGATCAAGCTGCAGTGAGGAAGAAAAAAAAAAATCAAGAGTAGAACTAAAATGTGAGCTCTTGTTTCCATCAAAGAGTCTTTTATAAGGCCAACAAATCTTCATTAAAACAGATGCCAATGACAAAGTGAAAATGCAGGGAAAGTAATAAGTGATTGGGTGAATTAACTTTCTCAAGGAGGGGGCAAACTTTGTTTTTGAGACAGAACTATAGAAGTAATTGCTGCGCCCTAGACTCCCAAGCAGATAAGCCAGGCCTGTGGTCAGAATGCTGCCCCCAGGATTTAGTACACAGGGCTGGGAAAACAGGAACAGAGAGTACTCCTTCTGGCCAGAAGGTGAAGCATGGTGAGTGACAAACACCATACAGCCTGGAAAAACACTCTCATAATTTATCAAGCAACAACCATTGCATAACAAGGAAGGGGTTCTTTGCTGATAAGCGAATTTCAACAGCCTCACTTACAGTTGGCTTGCTTATTTTTATATCTAGAAATCCAGGTAATTTCCCCCCCTCCTTCTGTATAATAACATTGCTTTTTTTTTTTTTTTCATTAAAATCTAGGACAGGAATCCAGCATTCTTTGGTGACTACAAAATAAATAAGGGGCAACACACAGAAGCAAAGCAGTTTTGCTTGTAATTTTCTAAAGGGTAAAAAAATAATAGAAAAGACAAGAAGTTAGGATTTTCGAGTTAATATAAAGAAGTCTTGAATTATGTTTCAAGGTAAAAGGAAATGTAAGTAATTCATCTGTAAAAACGAGGAGATGTATTCATCTGTTTCAAAATAAGCGTGCATCATGAAACGAGACTGAAAGTTGGCCTTTGATGTTTTTTTTCTTTTACCTCACAATATAAAGGGTCATAGATTTTACTCCAAATTCCTAAAAGGTCCTGGTGGCCATGGAATCCTGAAAGTTTTGGCAAGGTTTCTATAAAATCCTGAAACACAAACAGAGAGAAATATTTTTCTATACGAAACCGTCTCAACTTCAGTGCTATTGATATTCTGGGTTAGATAATTTCTTCATCACAGGGGGTATCCTGTACATTGCAGAGTATTTTGTAGTAACTTTGCCCTCAACTCACCAAATGCCAGTTGCATTGTTATTCTACCAGTTATGTAACCCAAAATGTCTCTTGATATTGTCAAATGTTCCATATGAAGCAAATTTGTTCCTATTGAGAACCATTGTTCTTCACACAAAAATGCACCAGTAATATTGGCTATGATAATGCCAAGTCTAAGAATTGTATACACATTAATTGATAATTTCTCATTATTACATTTAAGAGCAGATAAAATGCTAGCTTACTGCCACATGTTTCTGGCTTATGCTGGAATCAGACTGAAGTGCATGGCTCCAAATTTGTTTTAGAGGTAGGTGAAGTATAACTCAAAATGGAAATGAATGTCCCAGGTGAGAAGGGAAAGCATATCATAGGCCAAAGCATCCCAGGAAAACACAACAGAAACAAGACCTAGTCTCTGGCTGTAAATATGAAAGAAATCAGGATGGAATACAAACAATTTACCAGGTTTCATATTATTCTGGGATTGCCAGAGAACCAACACTCAGCTATCTGACTGCTAATATTGACAGCAAATTCAGGAACACCTTTTGGAAGATATTGTCTGTCTGATGGTTAAATTTTCTAGGAAATTACAATTTGCCAATATTGATCCTAACAAATTTCCATAAAATAAATAGAAATAATTGTTAGAGAGCTACCACTACCACCTTCTCAAACACAAAGCTCCAGGAACAGATGATTTCTTGGAGAAATTCTTCCAAGATTTTCAAGAGTAAATTATTCTAATGACCTTTTAACTATTATAGAACATAGAAAAAGAAATACACTTTCAAAATTTTTTTTATGGATTAAGTATAACATTGATACTGACAAAGATTGTCCTCAAAATAAAACTGTAGTTCAGTGTCACTTGAAAATATCAATATAAAAGACCTATGTAAAACACTAGCAAATAGGGCGGCACCTGTGGCTCAAAGGAGTAAGATGCAGGCCCCATAAGCCAGAGGTGGCAGGTTCAAACCCAGCCCTGGCCAAAAACTGCAAAAAACCCCCAAAACAAACAAACAAACAAAAAAACCACTAGCAAATAATTCAATGTCACATTAAAATAAATGAATTTGATTTGAGAAATGTAAAGATTACTCAATGTTAGTAAATCTATGAAAATAATTAATCGTAATAGTTAATCCAAGGAGAAAAATAACTTGATTATATTAAAAATGTTAGAGAGATCTTTCAAAAGAATAAACAACAAATATTGATTTAAAGAAATACTCAAAAAAAAGGTAAGATAAATACTGTGACCTTGATAAAAATATAACTATTCTGATTCAAAAGCCAGCATATTTAATAGGAAAAAGCTTTTAAAATCAAGAATAAGACAAGAATATCCATTACCTACACTGCCAAGTAACATTGTACTCTAAGTCCCAGCTTATTGTACAAGAAAGAAACAGGGGTATGAATTTTGGAAAACTAGAGGTAAACCATTATGTGCAGATGTTGTAAATCTGAAAAAGAGTAAATTTATCAATTTAATTTATAAATCTGATATAATCTTAATGCACATAAAAACACTGAAAATCAGAACATAATTATTTTTGGAACTAGAAAAACTGATTCTAAAGTTCACAAAGAAAATTAAAACACAGCCATGAAAATTCAGAAAAAGTACCACTATGAAAGAGACCACCCTTTTAGATATTAAATCATATAAAATCTTAATAACATAGAGAGCTACCAAGACAGTGGTTTTGGCTAGCAAGAACACTTGAAATGAATACAAACTCCAAACACAGACCACATGTATGTGGATATTTTAATATGAATAATTTAAATTAATGGGAAAAGATGAACTACTCAATAAGTAATGATGGGGCAATTAGCTGATGTTTTGAGAAGAAGCTTAAGCAGGATACCTACCTCATACCTAACACTGGCATAAACTATAAATAGATGCAATATATAAATTTAGAAATGAAGCTATAGTAGAATCTGAAGAATATACTGCAGACTTCCTTTATAATCTAAGTGAGGGGGATGCTTTTCTAAATATGACTCAAACTGTAGAAACCATATAAGAATATACTGGTAGGTGTATGAGGAAGTGGAGAGAGGAGAGGAGGGGAAGGACTGCGGGGACAGAAAAGAATATATTGATACACTTAAAACTTACATGGCAAGAACACTGTAAGCAAAGGGGATAGTCAAACAAACAAATAAAAACTCCCCACCATTCATATCACAGACAGAAATGTTACAATATATAGAAAAATATTCTATAAGACATATAGAAAAAAAAGAAAACCAATAGGTTAAAAAAAGAATAGTCAAGGGATATGAATTTAAAAAGGAGGTACAAGTGGCACTTAGCTAGATGAAGATACCCAAGCTCATTCATCATGAGAGATAAGCACTAGAGAACAGAGAACAATGTTGCATAGGGGTGATGATAGTAAAGCTGCCTGGTCTTTTTTGAGACAGAGTCTCATTATGTCACCCTCAGTAGAGTGCCATAGCATCATAGCACAGCAACCTCTAACTCTTTGAGCTTAAGTGATTCTCTTGCCTCAGTCTCCCTAGTAACTGGGACCACAGGCACCCACCACAATGCCCGTTATTTTTGTTGTTGTTGTTGCAGTTGTCATTGATGTTTAGCTGGCTGGGGCTGGGTTAGAACTTGCCACCCTCGGTGCATGTGGTCAGGGCTGTAACCACTGTACTACAGGTGCCGCCAGCTTCCTGGTCTTATTCCTGGTTTTAGAGGATATGTTTCTAGTGACACCATTTTTTAATTATAAGATTGGCAAATATTCCCAGAGTTGTCGACATATTGCTGGCAAGACCGTGGAGAAATAGGCACTCTCATGCAATGATGATAGGAATAGAAAGTGGTCTAGCTTCTTTGGAGGGTAACTGGATAATGTTTCAAATGGACCCATAATATCTCCTTCTGGGATATTATCCTGGGGATATTCTTGTGGAAATATTTAGATGGACAAGGTATTCACACAGACTGCAAAAACAGAAGATTAGAAATGATCCACTTTTCCATCAGTAAGGGCTGGTTAAATAAACTATAATATATTCATAAATACAAATACTATACTTTTGTAAAAAAGGAAAGTAAAGATTAGAAAACTCGGCTCACAGCTTGGCACCTGTGGCCCAAGCAGCTAGGTGGCGGGTTCAAATCCAGCCAAATCCAGCCCGGCCCGCCAAACAACAATGATGGCTGCAACTGAAAAATAGCCGGGCGTTGTGGCGGGTGCCTGTGGTCCCAGCTACTTGGGAGGCAGAGGCAGGAGACTCGCTGGAGCCCAGGAGTTGGAGGTTGCTGTGAGCTGTGATGTCATGGCACTCTACCCAGGGGGACAGCTTGAGGCTCTGTCTCAAAAAAAAAAAGAAAACTCAGCTCAGTGCCTATAGCTCAGTGGTTAGGGTACTGGCCACATACAGGGAGGCTGGTGGGTTCAAACCCGGCCCAGGCCTGCTAAACAACGACAACTACAACCAAAAAATAGCCGGGCGTTGTGGCAGGTCCCCGAAGTCCCAGCTACATGGGAGGCTGAGGCAGGAGAATCACTGAAGCCCACAAATTTGAGGTAGCTATGAGCTGTGATTCCACAGCACTCTACTGAGGGTGACATAGTGAGACTCTGTCTAAAAAAAAAAAAAAGAATTAGAAAACTCTTCATGTACGGATTTAGAAATATTTCCAAGATATTTTGTTAAATGAAAAAAAAAATCCCAAGGTCCCCAAATCTGTGATTAGTATATCACTTTTGTGTAATAAAAGAGGAAATCAGAATAGTTTACTGTTTTAAATTGCACATGAACTTTATGTTCACCCTGTATTTTTATTCGTTTGCATATACATAAAGAAACTAGAAGACTACAGAAGAAATTAATGCCAGCGGATACCTGTAGGGTCATTGAAAGACTTTCCACTGTATTTCTTTTTATGTTGCCTGATATTTGAGCCATGTGAATGTATTAATGATGAAGAAGATTATTTTTTATTTATTTTTTAGAGACAGAGTTTCATTTTGTCACCCTCGGTAGAGTGCCGTGGCGTCACAGCTCACAGCAACCTCCAGCTCTTGGGCTTAGGCAATTCTCTTGCCTCAGCTTCCTGAGTAGCTGGGACTACAGGAACCCACCACAATGCCTGGCTATTATTTTTGTTGTTGCAGTTTGGCCAGGGCTGGGTTCGAACCCGTCACCCTCTATATGTGGCTGGAGCCCTACTCAATGAGCAACAGGTGCTGCCAAATAAGATTATTTTTAAGAGTACAAAACATTAATTATATCTTCCTTTTGGATAGTCCTGAACTGTATTTCACAAAGAAACATAGAAACAAAAAAGACTGTCCTTTGTATATGATGAAGATAATAGTCCCAGCCTTCAGCCTCGTTAGGGCAGATGTTTTACACTTGAATTATTCTCATTCAGCCACTCACTTGCACCTGGTTCCTTTCAGGGATATAGGTACAGGACTCAAAAACAACAGGCTTCTGTACAGGCAAGGGGATCAGGGAGTGATGACTTCCTTCATTAACCAGCCCCCAACAGAAACATTCATCCCATACATTTAGGAAGTCAAAGCTTCATCCTTTGCCTTGGCCCTCACACTCATGTAGATCACTAAGTAACACTAATTTTTAACCTTGTAAGGATGCAGCCTCTTCTGGAATTCCTCTGATTCCAACGTCTCCCTCTCAAGTTCTTGAAATTGAGGGCAGTTCCTGAAAGGCAGGTGTAGCAACTGAGGACAAAAGAAAAATCATAACAACTTTATTAGTCACGAGAACTCTGTGTATGGAGTTGCAGCAATATTGTGTGTTACTCATTGGGTCCAAAGCAACCTTAATAAAAGATTCAAAGGTGTTTTGAGTTGAAAGGAAATTTTAAAATTGAAGGGAAAAAGACAAATGGTGCACAGGTTTTAAAATAGGATATGCACCCAGAACTGAAAACCTTCATTTTTATTTTCTTTCATAAATTTGCCTAAATAGGACTATGCTGTTGGCAAATACTCATTCACACTTTCCGGTTTTCCATGTGAATGAGAACTTACCCTGTCTCTTCCCAGCCCCTTTCATTTCCAGCACTGGATGCACATCTGTGTGCACACGTGTACACACACACTCAGGTATGAGTAATTAGCTGGAGGTTGTGGACAGAATCTTAAGGGATCAATTTAGCATTTATTGGCTTTAGTTCTTGCAGATTTGCAGGCTGTTAAAGTAAAGGGTACATATGAAGTATATAGAAAAATGTATTTCAAGTGATGGTCTTAAAATGGGTTTAGACTTGACAGTCTTTGGGTTGGTGACTTCCAAGTTTATATTATGACCCTTACTTCCCATCTGTGGCTAATCTTGTGTTTCTCACTGTTGAGGGATATCACTACTTTGGATTCTTCTTCCTCAAATCTAACATGGGCAAAGTTGAACTCAATTTCTTCATTTTTAACTGTTTCCTCTTTGCAATTTCTCTATTACAATGGCAAAATGTGTCAACCTCTTCACAGACTAACCACTTGTTTGTCTACTTTCAAAATATATCCAATATAGGCCTCTTTTATCTCCTCTCTTGGTCCAAGCCACCATCACCTGCATTTCAGCTGCTGCAGGAGTTCCTATTTGGTCTACCAGCCTCTACAACTCATTCTCTATGTAGCTGCTACACCACTATTTTTAACTTATTAACAATTAACTGTTATTAAAAACATCAATCAGATCGTGTTGTTTCATGATGTATGACCTCCTTTGTCTTTTCATTTTACCTGGAACAAAATCCAAACTCACTATCATGACTTACAGGAGTCTACATGAGTTGACCCCTAGACAACTTTCTGCCCTCCTTTTCTATTACCTGTCCCTCTCACTCCCCTCCAGCAATACCATGGGCCTTCTGACTGTCCCCTGAACACACAGGTCTAGGATCTCTGCATAAAATGTTCTGCCTGGATCACTCGCCAACTGACTTCCACCCTTCTAGCCATCCTGCTACCTTGTTAACTTGTTTTATTTCCTTCAAAGACCTCATAACTACCTGAAATTATTTTATTTACTTTTTTATCATCTATTTCCTATAAAGTATACACTCAGTAGGAACCGGGATCTCCTTGTTAATTGCTGGATTGTCAATGCAGCAATTAACAGGGCTTACATATAAGTAGCTGCTCAGGAAATACAAGCTGCTGCCTGTTTGACATTTCTGATTCTGTGTCACCTTACCTTGTTTTCCTTCCCACAACATCTTTTACCATCTAACTTTAGCCTTTCATTTCTATATTTCTGAATTACTTCAACAGTTGTCCTCTGAGGCTCCAGTGTCACAACTACAAGCTATTGTCAGACAAAAAGAAATGCCTCAAAACACTATCAACCCATGTGTGTAATACAGAAGAACGTATACAGGTTTCTTTTATATCCATTGCTTTAAGTCTAAATTTCCCTGCATGGATTTCAAATTTTTCCATAGGAGAAATGATATTATTGAGGGAAAAAGCACAGGACTGTTCACTAAAAAGATTAGGTTTTAATTATTCGCTTAACCATCCTTAAGTTTAGTTTTCTCGTCCACAAATTGTCTGGTTAAAAGTAAAAAGAACCATCACCCAGACATGTGTCCAGAATGCTGTAATTTACAATGCAATATTCCATTTTTTCCTCATTTCTTAGCTGATGAGTTCCACAAGTTCCTAAGAGGAAGTTAGGTGAGTACTGTGTTCCTATTTTACAGGAAAGGAAGTGGAGGTGCAGGGGGGCTCAGGGTTATGTATCTGAATTGGTAGTTGGCTCCCAGACCTGTGTTTCCAAATCTCAAAACCAGCCCTTCTTCTAACATCACACTTTCTTTCTTTCAGCTTAAGATTTCTTTTGACAGGGCAGTGCCTGTGGGTAGGCACTGGCCCCATATACCGAAGGAGGGTGGCAAGTTCAAACCCAGCCCTGGCCGAACTGCAACAAAAAATAGCCAGGTGTGGTGGCGGGCACCTGTAGTCCCAGCTCCTTGGGAGGCTGAGGCAAGAGAATCACCTACGCACAGGGGTTGGAGGTTGCTGTGAGTTGTGATGCCATGAGGCACCCTACTGAGGGCGACAAACAAATTAAGACTCTGTCTCAAAAAAAAAAAAAATAGGTTTCTTTTGGCTACTAAGTGTGGATTTTCTAATCTGTGCCTAGCACGGTTATTCAATCATATTTTCATTCTTGCTAAACATGGACTCTGGGCACAGAATAACTAGCACTCTGCATGTTCACTCAGGGACATGCCTTGGTGCTGCCTTCCTCTCCTTTCCTACCCCTCTCATGAGGTCTGGTTCAAGTTCTCAGTATCTCTATGAAGACTTCAGTGATGGCCCTGGGGCAGCTCCATGTATGTTTCATTCTCTGAATTCATCCAGCATGGACAGCTTGCTCTTGCAATCAATGTCTTCTATAAGTTTGTCACATGCCAATCTGTTTTATCAAACAAATGAGTTAGGGAAGACACTGGCCTCCCCCTTCTCTATAGCTCTTAGCACAGCTCTGGGAATAACCTTGCATTGATTCATCAATTTTGTTAGATTCTCCCCCCCCCCTTTTTTTTTACCTTAAACTCCTGGTAGCTGAGACTATAGCCACCTGCCACAATGCCCTGCTACTTTTTCTATTTTTAGTAGAGATGGGGTCTTGCTCAGGCTGGTCTTGAACTCCTAAGCTCAAGCAACCCACCTGTCTCAGCCTCCCAAAGTGCTAGGATTATAGGTGTGAGCCACCTCTGCCCAGATGTTAGATTTCTTAATTGATATTAGAGAGAATTTTTTTCACTTTCGTGAGTGGGAAGTGGGAAGTTATAGGTAGATGCTGCTGCTTGCTTTTCTCTACCTTTTTCTTACTCATCCTGTTTCAATCTTCCTAATCTAACAGCACCTGTATTCTCTATTTAATTACTGTCATTCAGGAACAAAGGTTCAATGCTACCTTGGTCTACATTTGGCTAAATTTGGTGCTGGTATTCAGTCTTTATCTCTGCAGAAAAGACTGTGGTAAAACTGATTTTAAAAAAGAAAACTTTTGGAAGAAAATATTCACAAATTCTTAACACAATCATAATAGTTTACTTCTGATTCTGTGAAGGAAAAAGATATAAATAAATAATTCTGTCTTTTTACGAAATACTAGAAAAGTGATTGGAGTAGATTCACCTCCAGTGATGTTGACAGTGCAGTATAAGTCAGTTTCTACAGTTGGGAAAAATTTTTAAGTTACTAGATGCAGCAATAAAGTCAAATTTTGGGGCTGCACTTGTGGCTCAAAGGAATAGGGCACTGGCCCCATATGCCAGAGGTGGCGGGTTCAAAACCAGCCCTGGCCAAAAACTGCAAAAGAAAATAAATAAATAAAGTCAAGTTTCTAGAAGTCCCGGCAGGACAAGTAGAATAGTAACATACCCTAGAGATCACTGGGAAAATTGCTAGGTCCTTGTGGAAACAGCCTAAATGCCCATCAACCCAGGAATGGATTAACAAATTGTGGTATATGTATACCATGGAATACTATCCAGCCATTTAAAAAGATGGAGATGGTGGTGACTGTGGCTCAAGTGAGTAGGGCACTGGCCCCATATGCCAGAGGTGGCGGGTTCAAACCCAGCCCAGCCAAAAACTGAAAATAAAACAATAATAAAAAGATGGAGACGTTACATCTTTTGTATTAACCTGGATGGAAGTGAACACATTATTCTTAGTAAAACATCACAAGAATGGAGAAGCAGGAATCCTATGTACTCAATTTGGATATGAGAACAATTGATGATCTAGTACACGGTGGGGGGTGGGAGAAGGGGGTGCAGGGAGAGGGAGGGAGGGGGGTGGGGGGTCATGGGGTATGACACAGCTTTTGGGGACAGGACAGAATTATAAGAGGGACTTTACCTAACAAAGGGAATCAGTATAACCTGGTTCTTCGTACCCTCAATCAATCCCCAACAATAAAAAAAAAGCTAACAAAAATATTTATAATAAATATCCATTAATATTAAAACAAATGCTAGATCCTGCAGTCAGGCTAAGCTTTAGCCATAAAGAGATGAGATGGTCACGCCTATGTGATGCAGGGAAATTAGGAAAGAAGAATTCTTTATCTCAAACTATTTCTTTTATATAGTCTTAAGTTCTATATTTGGAAGAGTCATTAGATTTATCTATTACTATTTTAAAAAATATCAGTTCCTCTGAGAAGGTTAAGAGTTCCTGGTGAGTCCCACCCTCTGTATTAAATCTGAGATTTTCTCTCCAACAGGCCCATTCAGGCAGCTTGATTTGCAGAACTGGTTCTCAAACTTGGTTCCCCACTGGAATCATCACCGGATTCAACCCTCAAAGATTCTGATTTGTTATGGGGAGTGCCCTGGGCATCAAAGCTTTGTCAAACTCCCGAAGTAATTCTAATATTCAGCTAAGCTTTTGGTCCACTATTTTACAGGCAAGAAAATAGCCTGTAAAAGGGAGGAGTGTTTGGTAGGTGTAGACATCTTTGGATATTCCGGGGAGGGAAAAAATCTGTGTGGGGCACCAAAAGCCTGGGAATTTAAGACAGAGAGCACTGGGAGGGGTGTGTGTGTGTTTGTGAGAGAGAGGGAGAGAAAGACAGACTGCCAACAATTGAAAGAGTGGCAAAACAAAGTGGACAATAAAGACACAAAGGAAAATTTGGTTCCTACTCCCAGTTGCCTAGGGCTTCCCATGTCTTACATTGTCCTTTACATTTTGATTTAAAGAAGAATTAAAACTCTGCAGCCCGAGGAGTGTCCAGACGCCCAAATCCACGAGTATGAGCAGCCTGCCTTCCTCCTTCCAGGCCCATGAGGAACCTCCCAGTTTCCCTGGTCTACTGACCCGATCTTCAGGAAGAGACACTGTGTGCACTGGGATGGGCTGCCAGAGCAGGCTGGGGTTCCAGATGCTGATACCTTCTGGAGGAAACAGGGCTGCAAGGTTTGCCATAGCACTCATCAAAGTCCGATCAACATCTGTGCTTCGAATATAAACCTAGAACAGAAAAATCAAAACAGACGCCGACGTAGAGAAAACGTCAGGCTTTCGTCCGTGGAGCGGACGAGGTATTAGAGGAAGGGCAGGACACCCCTAAGAAAAGAATTGTATAAAGAGAAGTATGTTTGTAAACAAGATCTCTGACTTGTATAAGTTCCCTGGAAAATAGAAAAAGTACTTTTACATATGCAGTATTATTTCGAGGGTTAAAGGTCCCACACATTAGGCTCCCCAACTGACCTGTTCATGTTTATAGGAATCATTCAAGAAGTTTTTGTATCTTTTTCTTATATACTTTCCAAGTTCATAATGCTGCTCCATGCCCACCTATAGGAGATAATAAAAGCAAAAATTAGTGAAAGTAAGTTCTAGGAATCACATTATCATAGACATTTGTCTCATATTTTATCATTAATGTGTAATGATATGTGTAGAATGCTTTGATAGTACCACAATAAAAACACACATTTAAATAAAAGTAAGGAAAGAGAGCTTCTTTTTTTCTTATTGTTTCAGGTTCATTGAGGGTACAAAGAATTAGGTCACACTGACTGCATTTGTTAGGTACAGTCCCTCTTGTAATTGTGCCCTGCCCCTAAGAGGGTGCCATACACCGTGACCCCCTATTCCTGTGGTCCTCTTCCCTCTTCCTCGCTTCCCCAACCCTCACCTTGAATTAATTTGAGTTTTTCTCTTATGTTGGTATGTATTAGATCATCTACTAGCTTCATATTAGTATTGAGTACATTGGATTCTTGCTTCTCCATTCTTGTGATACTTTACTAAGAAGAATGCATTCCAACTCAATCCAGGTTAATACAATAGATACAAAGTCTCCATCTTTTTTAATGGATGAATAGTATTCCATGGTATACATATACCACACCTTGTTAATCCATTCCTGGGTTGGTGGGCATTTAGGTTAGTTCCACATTTTGGCAATTGTAAATTGAGCTGTGATAAATAGTCCAGTGCAAATGTCCTTATGATAAAAGGATTTTTTTTTTCTTTTAGGTAGATGTCTAGTAATGGGATTGCAGGATTAAATGTGACATCTAATTTGAGTTCTTTGAGGAGTCTTCCCTTCCAAAAAGGGAAGTTTGCAGTTCCATCAACACTGTAAGTGCTCCCTTCTCTCCACATCCACGCCAGCATCTGCAGCTTTGAGACTTTGTGATGTGGGCTATTTTCATGGGGGTTAGGGCCGCATTTGCATTTCTCCAATGATCAGGGATGATGAGCTTTTTAAAAAATGTTTGTTAGCCATTCATCTGTTTTTATCATAGAAGGTTCTGTTCACATCTCTTGTCCAGTGGTAGATGGGATTGTTTGCTCTTTTTGTTATTGTTGATTAATTTGAGCTCTTTGTAGATTCTAGTTATCAACACTTTGTCAGATTCATACCCTGCAAATATCATTTCCCATTCTGAAGATGTCATTTTGCTTTACTAGTTGTGTCATTAGCTGTGCAGAAGCTTTTCAGCTTAATTAAGTCCCATTTGTTAATTTTTGTTGTTGTGATGGCCACTGAAGTGTTTGTCATAAAATCTTTCCCCAGTCCAACATCAAGAGTTTTTCCCACTCTTTCTTCTAAGATTTTTATCATTTCAGTCTTAGATTTAAATCTTTCATCTATCTTGAGCCAATTTTTGTAAGTGGTGGAAGGTGTGGGTCAAGTTTCAGTCTTTTACATGTGGTTATCTAGTTTTCCCAGCACCATTTGTTGAATAGGGATTCTCTTGCCCACTGTATGCTTTTGTTTGGTTGTTAAAGATCAGATGGCAAGTAGAGACTGGTTTCAGCTTTTGGTTTTCTATTCTGTTCCATATGTCTGTGTCTCTGTTTTTGTGCTAATACCATGTGTTTTGATTACTGTGGACTTGTAATATAGCCTGAAGTCTAGTAAAGTGATGCTACTAGTTTTGTACAGGTTCCATACAAAATGAAGCACTATTTTCTTCAAAGTATGATGTTGGTATTTCAATGGGGATTGCACTGAACCTTTTGTTAATGTACTCTGCTATTTCTTTTTTTTAGGATTTCATAATTCTCTTTGTAAAGCTTTCACCTTTGGCTTAGAACCTATAGCACAGTGGTTACGGTGCCAGCCACGTACACTGAGACTGGTGGGTTTGAACCCAGCCCAGGCCAGCCAAACGATGACAACTGCAACAAAAAATAGCCAGGCATTGTGGCAGGTACCTATAGTCTCAGTTACTTGGGAGAGGCTGAGGCAAGAGAATCACTTAAGACCAAGAGTTTGAGGTTGCTGTGAGCTGTGATACCATGGCACTCTACTAAGGGTGACATAGTGAGACTTTGTCTTAAAAAAAAAAAAGAAAAAGAAAAAAAGATCCTTCATCTCTTTTGTTAGGTATATTCTTTTTCTTTGAGGCTACTGTGAAGGGAATTGTGTCCTGATTTGCATGTCATCTTGGCTGTTACTGGCATATACAAAGGCTACTGATTTGTAGACAATGATTTTATACTCGAGACATTATTGTATTTCTTTTTTTTTTTTTTAGAGACAGAGTTTCACTTTGTCACCCTTGGTAGATAGAGTGCCATGGCATCACAGCTCACAGCAACCTCCAACTCCTGGGCTTAGCTGATTCTCTTGTCCCAGCCTCCCGAGTAGTTGGGGCTACAGGTGCCCGCCACAACTCCTGACTATCTTTTTGTTGCAGTTTGGCAGGGGCCAGGTTTGAACCCGCCACCCTCAGTATATGGGGCCGGCACCCTACTCACTGAGCCACAGGTGCCACCCCTATTGTATTTATTGATCATTTCTAGGAGTTTTGCAGTTGAGTCTGAAGGGTTTTCTAAGTATAAGATCATATTATCAGCAAAGAGTGAAAGTTTGACTTCCTTTGCCCCCATGTGGATGGCCATCCTTCTCTTGCCTGATTGCATTGGCTAGAATTTCCAGCATAATGTTGAATTGTAGTGGTGATAGAGAAAAGAGAACTTTAATCTTTAGTCACTGCTCCCTGATGCCCTAAGAAAACTTATTCATCTTCATGAATAACACTTGACACAGAGACTTGCACACAGTAAGGGCTGAGTTGATAGTTGGTGATTCAGCTGGTTTAAGTAAATTATTTATCTCTGGTGTGGTGGGATCCATCCTTGATGGTAAAGCATTCAAAAGGACTGACCACTTGGTGGGGTTTTTGTGGAATAAATTCAACCATTTGATGAGGTTGGACTTGATGAATCTGAAGGTTTCTTTCAATCTCTGGGTGCAATGATTTATTACCTGCACAAATTATTTATTCCTGTTTTATAAAAAAGATTAGAGCCTATTACTCAAACTGTGGTTTGTGGATCAGCAGTATTAGAATTACTTGAGAGCATGATAGAAATAAAATTCTTGGGCCCCAGTTTTGACCTAGTGAACCAGAATTCTGGGCGGTACAGCTCAGGAATCTATTTTTTAAAAGCTCTCTAAGAGCTTTTGATAGGCAATAATCACTGAGATACACTGCATTAGCTCAGTGGTCCGCAAGCATTACTGTGCATCAGAAGCAAAATTATCTAGAGGTGCTTGATGAAATGCAGATGCCTTACATTTCCCTCCAGATACCAGCTCATTAAAGCTTGAGTAGGGCACTGGAATCTGCGTTTTAACAACTCTCCCCTCCCACCCCCAACACCAAGTGATTTAGATGTAGGTAGTAGAGCACTATGCTCTGACAATCATCACATTCAAGTTTGTCTTCGATAGTCTCTCCAGGGCTTCAGGAGCCAGAGAGGATGTTGTCACTGTGGTGTTGCTTGGTCTTACTTGTCATTCCTCGTCACTCTTGGCCATCTCTGTCATCACATCCCAATGAGGATGGGGATTAAGTTGGGAAAGGAATAATGTCCCATGACCTGGGTAGCTGAGAAGCAGGTACTTTGGGTCTAATTGTGTCTTAACTTATAGCTGACTTTTGAGGTAGCAGTCATCATCTGCATAGAGCAGTGATTTTCAAACTTTAGCATGCACAGAATCACTTGGAAGACTCATTAAAACACAGATATCTTGAACTTAACTCCAGAGTTTCTGGTTCACTGGGTATAGGATGAGGTCAGAGAATTTACATTTCAGATAAGTTCATAGGTGATTCCCACTTTGAGAACCACTAATCTAGTGAGCCATCACCTTATCATTACGCAGATTAGGAGTACATGGCCAAGATTAGGAATCTGTGCTCCAGAATCTTTTTACTTCAAAAGTGGTCCATGCACCAATCCCACTGTCATCATCTGGGGTACATTAGACAGGAAGACTCTCAGCTCCCACATCAGACCAGCTGAATTAGAATCTATTTTAACAAGATCCCCAAGTGATTCATCTACAGGGAGACCCAAGAAACACTGAGTAGATAGAATCTGATGGCTGGTCAAGGGACTTCCAGAAAAAGAACCCAGATCCTGCAGTCTGGAAGAAGTTTTTAGTCTTACTGAAAAAGCACAGCAATGGAATGGGAGTTCTTACAGAGCCATATATATTAAGCAAATCTGAATTTTTGTTACCCTTCTCTCATTCAAAGAGCCAGTAGAAGGGAGGGCCCTACTGGGAAAAGCTCTGACTTGGAAACCAGAAGATGCTGGCCTCTGAGTTTTCTCCTCTTTGAAATATAGGGTAGTAATTCTTATTCCTGGCTACACATTAGAGTGAAATGATCAACTAAGGAGCTTCTAAAAAATCCTAATGTCCAGAACATATCCTAAAACAAATAAATAAGAATCTCTCAGGAAGACATCAATACTCTTGGGCAGCACCTGTAGCTCAGTGAGTAGGGCGCCAGCCCCATATATTTGCCCAGTTCAAACCTGGCCTTGGCCAAACTGCAACAAAAACTAGGTGGGCGTTGTGGCGGGCACCTGTAGTCCCAGCTACTCAGGAGGCTGAGGCAAGAGTATAGCCTAAGCCCAAGAGTTGGAGGTTGCTGTGAGTTCTGATGCCATAGCACTCTACCGAGGGCAACAGAGTGAGACTGTCTCTAAAAAAAAAAAAAAAAAAAAATCTTTAAACACCTCCATATTAAGACCCCTTAGTTTTGTATTTTCTTCCTTTTCTTTTCTTTTTCTTTTTGACACAGAGTCTTACTCTGTTTCCCCTAGCAGAGTGTCATGGCGACACAGCTCACAGCAACTTAAACTCTTAGGCTCAAGCAATTCTCTTACCTCAGCCTCCTGAGTAGCTAGGATTACAGGCGCCCACCACAACACATAGCTATTTTTAGAGGTGGGGGTCTCGCTCTAGATCGGGCTGGTCTCAAACTCCCGAGCTCAGGCAATCTGCCCGCCTCAGCCTTCCAGAGGGCTGGGATTATAGGTGTGAGCCACCAGGCCTAGCCCTGTGATATTTTCTTAATGGATTTAAACAGTACTTTAAGACAGAAACAATGCACCTGGCCTTAGGGTTCCAAATAGAACCATCCAATTTTACAAGTGAAGGTGGGTGGGGCCCTGGAATAGTGACTTGGGATGGCTTCATTCCCCAGTTCACCTTCTTCTTCAAGCTCTTGAAAAGGTAGGACCCTCTGTGTTTAACTGACTCCTTGTAAGGAAAGTTGAATTGCAATATATCAATCTGACAAGAAATCAAATTCTGCTTTCAGCACTTCCAGAGGAATTGTGTTTCCACCATACTGTTGATTCAGCTTATTGATGACAGGACTACTTTGTATTTCCTTAAATGAAGCCTGAGAGACTCAGAATCTGGGTTGTAAGTACCTCTTAGCTCTTTTCAACATTTCTAAGCTCGTAGATTCTTCTGTTGTCCAAATATGTGCTTAAGTAAAGGCAACAGGGTAAATATATCAAAACAGAAAATTCTATACACCTTTCCCATTAAGACTCAACAACCAACCTTTTGGGTGAAAACCCAACCAACCTGAGTGAGTTGGCCAAATCCTTGTGGCCACGAGGATTCCTTAATGGGGTCATTAGGGAAGGTTTCGATGGGACTTCTGTCTCCATGCCGAAATACCTGAAAATAGATTTGAGACAGCTAAGTTACAAATTGACTTGCCTATTTTGCTTCTGCTCATTATAACAATTTTTCTTCTAAACCACCTGTTCTCGTTCTTGGCTGCCCACTGGAATCATCTGGGGAGTTTTAAGCAATTCTGATTAACTCTCACCCCTACTGATTTGGGTTTAATTAGTCAGGGGGTGTGGCCAAGGTATTAAGATTTTAACATATTCCCAGGTAAATCTCATATTCTAAGCTCACTAACACTTTTCTCATGTTTATGTAATGTAAGAATCAAGATGATTAACCATTAGGGCTGGGTGCGGTGGCTCATGCCTCTAATCCCAGCACTTGGGAGGCTGAGGCAGGTGGATTGTCTGAGCTCACAGGTTTGAGACCAGCCTGAGCCAGAGTGAGACCTTGTCTCTAAAAATAGTCGGGTGTTGGGCGGTGCCCGAAGCTTAGCCACATATACTGTGGTGCCAGCCACATATACTGAAACTGGTAGTTCGAACTCTGCCAGGGCCAGCTAAAACAACAATGACAACAGCAACAAAAACAAAAAAAATAGCTGGTTGTTGTGGCCGGTGCCTGTAGTCCCAGTTACTTGGGAGGCTGAGGCAAGGGGTTCCCAATAGTTTGAGGTTGCTGTGAACAATGATGCCACAGCACTCTACCAAGGGTGACCAAGTGAGAGTCTGTCTCAAAAAAAAAAAAAAGTTGATTAGCCATTAGAAAGCAAATCATAGGCTCGGCACCTGTGGCTCAAGTGGCTAAAGGCGCCAGCCACATACACCTAAGGTGGCAGGTTTGAATCCAGCCTGGGCCCACCAAACAACAATGATGGCTGCAACCAAAAAAAAATAGCCAGGCATTGTGGCAGGTGCCTGTGGTCCCAGCAACTTTGGAAGCAGAGGCAGGAGACTTGCTTGAGCCTAGGAGTTGGAGGTTGCTGTGAGCTGTGATGCCACAGCACTCTACCCAGGGGGACAGCTTGAGGCTCTGTCTCAAAAAAAAAAAAAGAAAGCAAATGATACATATGTCTATCAGATAGAAGCAAGAACACAGTACTTTTATGAGGTCACTTTATTGCAGCCTCTGATGAGATGTACTCCTCCATTTACTATGATCATAGTGATAATGGAGTTAAAATTTTGATATGTTATAAAAAAACTAATGGCTTTTAAATGCCACAGTTTTTGCCAATTTTGAGCCAATGATTTGCTAGTATTTAGGAGGTTAGGGGTAAAGACATTGTAGGTGGGGACATTAGACAAGCTAATTCTCACTCAGTACTTTACTAACCCACTTCTGGGTCTGTGTGCACGCCACGCTGCTTTGGTTGCAGATTTCCCTTTGAAGGGAGCAGGCGGGGTTTTTGAAATCTTGACATTTTGGTACTAATATGCTTTCTGAGTAGGATACAAAGCCAAACACAAAGCTATTTTACAAGCAAAAGATAAGGAAAGAAAACACCCAAGAAGTAGATGATGAAGTCTACACTCATGTCAGGAAATATTTTTGATACAGAAGAGGACTGTGTAGCACCTTGTTTTAACTGTCACTTATACTACCCAAGATGTTCCCGTAAACAGTAAGTCAAGGGCCTGCTCCTCTAAAATCCTGTAAAATAGTCCAGAAGACAGTGAATAAGGAACAGTCTCAGATTTTAGTTATCTTTGAGAAGGAATCCCAGGGAAGTGGGGAATGCTTCTAAGACCCAGATGTGTCTCTGTTATCTGAAAAAAGCTGACTTTTGGCCCCTTAAACCAGTAGAACAGGCTACAGCAAACAGGGACAAAGGTGCAACTTAAGACATTTAGTTTAGGTAGGGAATTACTGTCAGGAATGGTCGTCCTCATGGCAGGACGAGCATATTCTCTTGTGAACACCTACAGACGCTACCCTCCAGGGCTGAGTGTGTCATGGTTAGAAAGGATCAAGGCTAAGGAGTACTGGCTTTCTCTCCACAACTGAAACACATTTTAGACTTTTTGGCTCCTAGATAATTTGTGCAAAATACTTTTCCAGATCTGAGTAATTGTTATACGGTCTCAGTAAATTATAACCCCCCCCACACACACACATTTTTTAGTTTCCATGGTTTTTCAACCTCAGTATGATTGACATTTGGAGCCGGATAATTCTCCGTTGTAGGGGTTCTCCTGTGCATTGTAGGAAGTCCAGCAGCATTCCTGGCCTGTACCCACTAATCAGTAGCATTCCCCAGTTGTGACAACCAAAAAGACCAAAACTTGAGGGCCCAAATCACCCCAAGTTAGGAGACACTGAGTTAGCCAAAGAGAAACCAGATGAGAGACAGACACTGTAGTAAAATAATTTACAATGCTTCCTAACAGCCTATAACCACGATAACTCTTCAACATTTTTTAAGCATTTGCTTTGTCCTGGAAACTGTGCTAACTACTTCTCATACATTTAATCCTCTCATCAATTCTACAAAGCAGTTACTATTGTTATTTCCATTTCACAAGTGAGGAAATGAACCTTAGTGATCTGTCCCAATTACGTTTTGGGAACTTACTGGATAGGCTTATAAGCACTTTTTACATATCAACTTGAACTTCATAACAACTCCATGAGGTACTATTATGCCCATTTTACTGATGATGAAATGCAGGCACAAACCAGTTAAATTTCTTATCCAAAATTACACAACTAGTAAGAAGTTGAGCTGCCATTTAAACCCAGTGATCTGATTCTTGAGTCTGCACTCTAAACCACTGTGATATATTACATTGTGCAGTACAGAATATCACCACTTACCTATTTAAGAATGTCAAATGTTTAATGCCTTTTATGTATCCTATTTCCACGGCATCATTGTCTTTCTAGTAACCTGATTAGAAAACTCTGGGTTATTTGGTTTCTGTCTTCACAATTAAAAAGAATTATCTTTTCTTTCCAATTGTACTGCTTTCTGGTCTAACTCAGATCTTCATTATGCTTTGCCTGAACTGTTGTAGTTCTCTCTGTTCTCTCCTCTATCCTCTCCCCTCCTTGAGCCATTCTTGACACACAGAAATATGTCTCCCCCAAGAGAAAATAAGGTAGAATTTGCAGATGGGTAAAACTTAGGTACAAACAAGCTAAGAACTGTAGTTAGTGTGAGGTTCTAGTAGAGAGGGATGATAACTGTCTAATATCTCTATTCTTCTTTATTCCCGTCAAATTACCACACATGTGCCTATTAAATTAATAAACTTAACAATAATGAAAGGTTGTCCGGAACCTGGAAGGACTTTATGCTAAGAGAAACAAGCTAGTCACAAAAGGACAAATGCTGTATGATTCCATTTACTGACATACCTAGTGTAGTCAAACTCATCAAGGCAGAAAGTAGACCGCTGGTGGCCAGGGATGGGGGAGGGGAGATGAGGAGCTATTATTTAACAGGTATGGAGTTTCACTTTTACATAATGAAAAGAATCCTGGAAATGGATAGTGGTAGCACAATAATGTAAATATACTTAAGGGCCTTGAACTGTACACTTAAAAATTAAGATGGTACATTTTATGTTATGTGTATTTTACTACAATTTAAAAGAAAAGAATAATTATCCAGAAAGTTGGACCATGTTTTAGACTGACGACTCCCAGCATTTGCGCCATGGTCTATTCTTTCATCACATCATATTACCTTGAAGACAACAACATGAAGTAGGAAGCAGAGTTATGATCATTATCCCCACCTGTAATTTGGGGGCACTTGAAACTTAGTTGTATTTTTTTTATTAAATCATAGCTGTGTACATTAATGCAGACATGGGGTACAATGTGCTGGTTTTATATACAATTTGAAATATTTTCATCAAACTGGTTAACATAGCCTTCATGGCATTTTCATAGTTATTGTGTTAAGACATTTATAGTCTACATTTAGAAAGATTCACATGTATCCTTGTAAGATAAACCATAGGTGTGGTCCCACCAATCACCCTCCCTCCATCCATCCTCTCCCCTCCCCTCCCTTTCCCCATATTTTCAGGCTATAATTGGGTTATAGCTTTCATATGAAAGCTATAAATTAGTTTCATAGTAGGGCTGAGTACATTGAATACTTTTTCTTCCATTCTTGAGATACTTGGCTAAGAAGAATATTTTCTAGCTCCATCCATGTAAACATGAAGGAGATAAAGTCTCCATGAAACTCAGTTGTATTAAATGACCTGTCTGTGGCCCAAACCTGGTCAATGGTGTTAGAACTTGAATTACTGAAAGTTCAGTGCTTTTCTAGTTATGAATGGCCTTCAACTTCTCTAGCAATAGCTTTAGAAAATTAGTAACAGGATTGGATGGCCAACCTGAGTAGTGAGAGATTGAAGAAGACAAAAATCTGTTGTCCCAGACAGTAGACATTATTTGAATTTGTCCAAACACAACATACAAATTATCCATGAGTGTACAGAACATACGCTTAGGATTAAGAGGCTATTTCCATTAAGAGTATCCTAAGACTTGGGTAAGAATTCTGCATGAAGAAGGTCATCTATGAAAAATGAGAGGAGTGTATATATCTGGACTCACCCTCCCATTCTTTGTAAAACAGTAGGGGAATGAAATGGATTTTTCCCGTCTTAGAGAAGAGAGGGAAATGGCAGTTCCCTATTTCTGGGTGAAATAGTGGAATGCATGGGATTACCTGAAAAAAGTCAAGTAGCTGTGTGTGGGAAATGAGTGGGCCTGCGGATGAAACAAGATTAGCCAGGAATGATAGTTTTTGAAGCTGGTTTATGGGTACATCTAGATTCACCACACTCACTATTATCTCTGTGTAGAGTTAAAAACAGCAATCGTCTAAGTGTTTCTGTGGGATGCTGGAAAAAAAGGGGAGGTGGATGCTGTAATCAAAGTTTTGGAAACAGGATATACTAGACATGCCTTGAAAGACCCAGCATACATTAGCACATTAAAGACTCCAAGGAGAAATCCTTTTAACACAGGTTAACGCGATTCTGTTCCCAAGCTGACTTGATTATTGAAACCCATGTTTCCCTATGCAACATGCGTTAACAATTTGTCAAACTAGCACTCCATGGGACATGATTGGTTAGTCTGTTTTAGAAGATTATGTTGTAGCTTGGCGCCTATACCTCAAGCGGCTAGGGAGCCAGCCACATACACCAGAGCTGGCAGGTTTGAATCCAGCCCAGGCCTGCCAAACAATGACAACTACAACCAAAAAATAGCTAGGCGTTGTGGTGGATGCCTATAGTCTCAGCTACTTGGGAGGCTGAGGCAAGAGAATTGCTTTAGCTGAGGAGTTTGGAGGTTGCTGTGAGTTGTGATGCTACAGCACTCTACCAAGGGTGACATAGTGAGACTCTGTCTCAAAAAAAAAAAAAAAAAAGAAACCCAGAAGATTATGTTTTGGCTCTGTTTATGGGAGAAAACAAGAACCAACGATGGTTTCCTGCTCTTTCTGCCAAGAGCAGCTTTACAGTTGGGAAAGATTTACTTTTCTTGGATGACAGAAGAAAAGCAAGGAAACTACCTGCTGGTTCTGAGTCAAGTTATTACAACAAACCTTACAGGGAAGCCTCAGACCAGGTCCATGTCCTGGATTACAACTTTGCCAAGTGAGTGGCCCTCTAGGGTCAGACGGCCTGGATTCAAATCCTATCTCCATCATTCCAGGCACCTCTTTGTGCCTCAATTTCTTTATAAAATAGGATTCATGAGTTTTACAAAACTTTATAGAATGGTTGTCAGATTTGGCACATAAAAATACAAGATGCCAAATAATTCATGGGACATACTTATACTAAAAAATTATTTGCTATTTATCTGAAATTCAAATTCAAATTGTCTTTCTGTGTTTTACCTAGCAAACCTAATTTATAGGGTTGTCAAGAGGATTATGCAACATCATTCATTTAAAACTCTCAGGTCAGTGTCTTGTATACAGTAAAGACTCAGTTAAATATTGGTTATTATCATTAATATTGCCACTTTAATCAGGGGTACCTTTCTTCCTTCTTTTTTTTTTAAGAGACAGAGTGTCACCCTGTCACCCTCAGTAGAGTGCTGTGGCGTCACAGCTCACAGCAACCTCCAGCTCTTGGGCTTAGATGATTCTCTTGCCTCAGCCTCCCAAGTAGCTGGGACTACAGGCGCCGGCCACAACACCCAGCTCAGGGGCACCTTTCTTTTATTCTGGTTTTCCTAATAGTTTTCTAAGGATTTTCCTGAGGATGTAATTTCATCATTATAACCAAATATTCTTTTTAATCAATCTAAAGAAGAAAGTGGTATCCTCATAGATACAGACTATGTCTCAGATAGAAGTTGTTTCACAAGGGCCAAGAAAAATATATTAAGTTGCCCTTCATCTATCATTGATGGAAGCAAGCAGTAATAGGAAAAATAGTTAACACTGGCCTTGTGTGATATCTGCTAATTTTTTAGCTCTAAGAGAGCTACCTTCATATTTTGGTTTTCCTTAGGGAAGAATCAACTGGAAGTTCCTGCATATATGTTAACTAAGAAAAGAGAGAGGTAAGGAAACAGACACAGTTTGGTAGCCTGGCCTGTGGGTAACACATGGAGGGGGGACTCCACCGCATGCTGTCATATCTCAGAAAGGAGTGTCCCTCCACCAGCTTGTCACAGGCTTACAGTATGACAAGAATGGCAGATGCGATATAATTTCTGCAATCCCTATACTTATTTGTTAATTGCACCTGTTGGCAAGTAAACTGTGAATATAAGTAAAAGTGTAGCTTCCCTGGACTTCCCTGTAGACAGTATACAATATTATATTGTTTTTTAGCACAGGAGCCGGACAGCTAGTGAATTATTTATAAATAAATTGACAGCATGTTTCCTAGTTTTCTATCATTGACTGAAGACCTAGTAAAGATTTACTGGAGTAGAAATCATGATTTAGATAAGCATCAGGTTATCAGAATCTCTGTTAAGAGTTCTGAATACCCTCTGCTGACAAAACAGGAAATTTGTGTGTGGGGTTTTTTTTTTTTTTGCAGTTTTTTGGCTAGGGCTGGGTTTGAACCCGCCACCTCCAGTATATGGGGCTGGTGCTCTGCTCCTTTGAGCCATAGGCATGGCCCTGTGTTTTCTTTTTTTTGAGACAGAGCCTCAAGCTATCCCCCTGGGTAGAGTGCCATGCCATCACAGCTCACAGCAACCTCCATCTCCTGGGCTCAAGCAAGTCTCCTGCTTCAGCCTCCCAAGTAGCTGGGACCACAGGCACCTGCCACAATGCCTGGCTATTTTTTGGTTGCAGCCATCATTGTTGTTTTGGCGGCCTGGGCTGGATTCAAACCCGCCACCTTAGGTGTATGTGGCTGGCATCTTAGCCACTTGAGCCACAGGCGTGGAGCCCCTCTCTGTGTTTTTTTTTAAGTTAAAGGTAACCTTCCTCCAACTTTTAAAAATAAGTTTTGAGTGTACCAACAGAAAGAAAATTTATTTATTTATCAAACTCACTTTCACTATATCAAATAAAAAATGCAGGGAAGAGAAAGAGACAGACCCTGTAAAAGAGGAGAGGCCCAGAGGCAGAGGGAGAGTGAAACAGATTAAGAAAAAAATACAAAGACAGAAAATCCGACTCCTCTGTATAATGGTAAGTCCCGTTTACTTTGCAAACCCTCTTTTCATCTATTTTTAAACAGTGCCAACACAATATATATTTTCCTGACATCATGCGTTACCATCCCCCCACTTTTTTTTTCATAACTTGTCGCACATACCATGAATAGGGAAAAACATGATTTTAATCGTCAAGTCAATCTAGATATCAGGAAGTTATCCCACAACTAAGCTTATACAGTGTGGGGGTGTTTGGCACACCTTTTGAGTGTGGGACATAACAGGGATTCTACCTAATATAATTCAAATATTTTGACCTGGTTGTTTGTACCCTCATGTTAACCTGAAATTAAAAAAACTAAGCTTAGATTTACTTTTTATTTTTTAAAGTTATTGTTAGGGATTTATTGAGGGTGCAAGAAAGCAGGTTTCACTGATTGCATTTGTTAGGTAAAGTCCCTCTTAGAATCCAGTCTTGCCCCCAAAAGGTTTGGCACACACCGAGATCTCACCCAACTTAGATTTACTTTTATACTTCAAAGACTGTTTACAAATATTTGTTCCAATTTCCTGATCAAGAAAAGGGGAAGGGACTACTTAATTCAGAAAAAATGACCATTTTTCGTTTTGCAAACAAATAATCGTTAAGTTGAACGAAACTAATTTAACTCCTGGTACATAAATCGTACCAGCTGCAACTCCCCTTGCACTCACGGGACTGTCAAAAGGAATCTTATTCAAGGCAGTTGAAAAGTAAGTAAATAAATAATATTGGCAAAAGACACCCTCCCCCCCCACCAAAAAAGCCACCTTTTTGTTAGGATGTTAGGACGCGTTACGTCTTCATTAAGAGGAGGAACTTGCGAAACTTGATTATTCACTTTCTGAGTTTGAACAGAGCCTGGTCTCTGGGAGACAATCTTAAGGTGAAACGAAACTAAAGTAAACACTTGGCTTTTCAGACCCTGCTGGTAACACAGTTTTAAGGGAAAAGCAACGAGAAAGGTGTACTTACCAATGTGGCAAACTGCAACTCCTTGGCTAGCACGCCGTGGTCTAGCCAGAAGAAAAGCAGAAGCAAGAAGCCGAGAAGTCTTGCTGCCCTGGCGGCGAGGAGGAGCGCAGCTCGCATGCTGGGGAGAGCCGATCCCGGCGGGAGTTGAGAGGTGCTGCTTCCACTTCAGAAGCCTTTAGAGGGCAAGCTATTTAATGAAGGGATTGGAACGGAAAGGAGGAGCCACACTCATGAATAGTAAAATTTCCAGGAAGCTTGGGGCGGGGTTTGGCACGTTGTAACGAGTTCACAGGTTTTGAGCTAAAAGTTAAAATATCACTCACAGCCTAAGAGACTATAGATTTAAGTTAAGAGGTTTTAAGTTAGGACACTGACGTCCAGAGAGGGAACACTATTGCTCAGGGTCACAGAGCATGTTAGTAAACATTCTTTTCATGTTTTCAGTTTATCTTGAGTTTCCTTTAGAAGGGGTATAAGAAATTGGCTTTGTGACTGACTGGTTGTCGCTTGGGGAAGGGATTTGCCCTAATCTTTAGAAATCTTTTTTTTTAAATTGTATTTTTTTTTTAAATTGAGACAGAGTCTCACCTTGTGGCCCTAGGTAGAGTGCTGTGGCATCATAGCTCACAGCAACCTCTACCTCTTGGGTTCAAGCGATTCTCTTGCCTCAGCCTCCCTAGTAGCTGGGACTACAGGTGCCCGCCACAACTCCTGGCTTTTTTTTTTTTTTTGCAGAAACGGAGTCTCACTCTGGCTCAGGCTGGTCTCAAACTCCTGAGCTCAGGGCAATCCACCCACCTTGGCCTCCCAGAGTGCTATGATTACAGGTGTGAGCCACCAAACCTGGCCCAAACTTTAGAAATCTTAAACCTGTGATTTTTAAACTTTTAGAAATCCAGAATTGTAAGAAGAGGAGAAATCTGGAAGAACTGTAGGTATTGACATGTGTTTTGGGACTATTCCCATAACAAACCTGGCCACTTTTCCTAAAACTCTCATGTAGCCTATATAGGTATTTTTACTTTGAAAAAAAATGAGGGGAAGTTTATTTTGAAATTTTTTAGTCATACCTTAAGATATTTGGGGATCACTTGTGGCATCTCAAAATTAGGGTTGGAAGTCCCTTTCTAAACCTGACACCGTTTTTTTTTTTTTTTTTAAAACCCAGATCAAACAAACCTACAACTCTGTACTGTCAGTCATCACCTTTGGCTGTAAGCCTTACACTCTGGGTGAGTCACACCCTGCCCTCTCCAGCCATGATCTCATAGGAGATGCTTTAAAAGATGATGATCGGATTGATAGAACTTACCTTTCCACTCTCCTCAGCTTGTCAGTTCCATTGGAGGCTAAAATAACACAGACTTGAGGTACACATTGAGATTTTGCAGGATTGGGGGGCAGAGCTGCTTGCTGTGATTTTTCTACCCCAGTGGCAGAGGGGGAACAATGTTTTTTTTACATCCTGTTCTCTGGTAAATCACACCTGTGACAGAAGGGTTGTGTTGTCACATGATCATAGGATGCCCTGGAATGTGGTGTGTGGGAGAGCTGCTGCTTCTGGTATGAGGAAATCTGAGCAAAGAATGCATGTGCAGTGAAGATCAGATGTTTAAGGGGACTTAGGACCTTCTCTTTGCCATCACATTCTCTACCTGCCGATCCCCACTGTTATTTTTAATGAGTAAGATTTTGATCAGATCCATGCAAAGAAAAGGGAATGAAGACTTTGCCCAGTCCAGGGCAGACATGAAGTTGACACATTAATCCTTGCTGAATATATGCCCCAGGGAATCTGAGAAAGGAAGTTCCAGCACCTCCATACTGTTCACAGGCTTAGTTCTAATTGTGCCAGATGCTGGATTCTGTGGCCTGTCTTGTTTCCTCCGTCATCAGCTTGGCTCCTTATCTTCCTGTCTCCTTCTTTGTCCCTCCCTTGGATTGGAACTATTTTAGCTACAGCCTGAGCCCATCCTGATAATGATTCTGGTTCTCTGACCTACCAGTACCATATTGTGTTGGTTGGATAAACCCTCTTTCGGATCCAGATCTTACTTTCTCTTTGGTATCTCATCTGTGCACCTTTTAGCCCTCTCAGTGTGAGTGACCAGAATGGTTTTCTTTGTGAAGGCCGCGTGAATTTTCTACTTTGATCCTTTGATCACCAAGTTATAAGGGGAGAAGAAGGATTCAAGGTCATAAATGTGGAGTCTTAAAAAACCTCAACACTATGAAATTGAGTCTAAAAGATCCTCAACTCAGATAAAACCCATTTTAAAATGTCCTGTGGCTCCTGAACGTTGTACTCATGTGAACTTTGCAAAGACTTATTGGTCACTTGAGATGAATATATAGCTATAGTAACATTTATTTTTCCCAGATGATCCCTGAGACTTGAAAAAGCGAAACCTAAAAAAATAATGGGTCGGGATGTCTTTATATAAAAGTAAAGAATATCAATCATTTTCTTTGATTAGTAGACCTTACTGACTTAATCACTTCATGTTCTCTTGTAGTACTTCAAGAAGTACTTAAGTTATTAACCCCTAAATAACAGTGTTAGAAAGTCCCATAAATGGAGCAGGTTGGGTGTTTTGGAAAGCAGACTCTTAGGTAGAGATTTGCATGTGGGAGTTTTTAGGGATCTACATCAGGAGCGGGAGGAGAAATAAGCAGGGTTGAGCAGAGAGAGAAATAATGTGACCATAGTGCTAATGCAATATTAATGGAGGCCTCCGCTGACCTCGTGAGGAGTTTTGAAGATGGGTTGGCCTTTTGGAGTTGTCCTGAATTAGGGTGAGGGAGCCAGGCCTTTTTATCTTGGCATTAGCTCGTCACTAGATTCATAGTCTGCTTCCGGTAAGGGAGTATGAGGATGGGAGAGTGCAGGTGGCTCTCTTCCGCCAAGGCAGTGCTCAAAGGCGTTGCCAGTTGAGTTATATCAAACAAGGAATTTCTATGAGCTGGAGGCAATTAATCCTTCAGTTCATGAGGGGGAATTTGGGCAGTGTAACACTGAATTCGTGGAAATAAATAAATATTCATAGGAAAGAAATTCATGATCCTTAGTAGATCAATGACTGTGGAAACAATAGATGTGCTTCTGATAGTGAGAGTTTGGGTTGGGGCAGAGATCCATCAATGGGTATATGGCTGTTCACGAGGTGGGAAAGCCGTCTGGCTTCCTAGGATCCTCATAATTACATTATTTGGCGCTCAGTGCCTCCCGTAGTACTGGGCATTCGATAACATTGTTTGACCAATTGTCCATATAGGTACACAATTGTATCAGAGCCTTCTTGCAGTGTTAGCAGCTTTGAGGCAAGATTTAATAAGATGGGTTTGGAATAAAAGTTTTCTTCCCCTCAAACCCTTATTTTGTAAGTGCTTTTTTTGCCCTTGACATGAAATAACTATTTTACAATTTAATATTTAGACAAACATCCCCCCATAAAACCAATGACTATGCCATTAAATGCCACTAAAGTAAGGTGTACAGGGGTTCATGAAATGAGCTAACACTTTCAAAAGTGAAGATGGTGTTAGAAAATTTTGTTTCTATTTATTATTTTTACCTAAGAAAGAAAAAAGATTTATAATAAAATTTTATTTTAAGTGGATTATCTTAAAATGGAATATTATTTCACCATAAAAAGGATAAAGTACTGATACATGCTATACCATGGTGAATATTAAAAATACCACGCTAATACTATGTTTACAAAAGACCACATATTGTATGATTACATTTATATTAAATGTTTAGAACAGGAAAATCTTAGAAGACAGTAAGTAGATTGCCTAGGACAGGTGGAGGAAGGGATTGGGAGTAATAATTAAGGGAATAGGGTGTCTTTTGGGGCTGCTGAAAATATTCTAAAATTGATTGTGGTGGTACTTGCACAACTCTGAATATATTAAAAACCATTGAATGTACACTTTAAATGTATAAATTGTATGGCATGTGACTTATGTCTCAATAAAACTGTTATGAAAGTAATTTAATACAGAATTAATATTCCAATGTTTAGGGTAAAGATGGCAATAGAAGTGTGTATCAATAAATAAACATTAATTACATATATGTTAACACTAATGGAATTCATGATTGAGTAAGTTTGGAAGGCAGCTATGCTCACCACTATACCACCAACGCACTCGATTGAGTAAGTTTGGACATCACTAATTTATATTAGTATATTGAAAGCCTAGAATTTTAAATTTATCTATTGCTACAAGACAAATTAACACAAACTAGTGGCTTAAAAAACACATGGCAAGGTGCACTGGCTCATGCCTGTAATCCTAGTACTCTAGGAGGCTGAGGCAGGTGGATTGCTTGAGTTCAGGAGTGCAAGACCAGTCTAAGAAAGAGCAAGAGCCAGACCCCTATTAAAAAATAGAAAAACTAGTCGAGTCTGGTGGTACACACCTGTATTCCCCAGTACTCCAGAGGCTGAATCAAGAGGATTGCTTAAGCCCAAGAGTTGGAGATTGCTGTGAGTGATGAAGACATAGCACTCTATCCAGGTTGACAGAGTGAAAAACAAAACCAAACCACATACTCTTCTTTTTTTTTGCAGTTTTTGGCTGGGGCCAGGCTTGAAACCACCAATGGGGCCAGTGCCCTACTCCTTGAGCCACAGGCACCACCCTCACATATACTTCTTATCTCACATTTCCCCTGAGTCATGAATCCAGGCATAGCTTAAAAGGTGCCTATGTTTAGGGTTTCTTAGGAGGCTGCAATTAAAGTATCAGTAGGGCCTAGGGTCATTCCCTAACTCATGCATGTAGCCATTGGCAAGATTCAGCTCCTTGTAAGCTGTTGAACCGAGGACCTAGCTCCTTAGTTGCTGGCTATTGCCTAGAAACTGCCTTCAGTTCCTTGCTGCCTGGGTCCCTCCAAAAGGACCACATGATTCAGACACAGGCTGAGAAAGCAATAAACTTCAGACATCATCTTCTCAGTATTTCTGAGACTTCATTATGTATAAGAATAACCTGGAAAGCTTAATAAAATACAGATTCCTGGGCCTAATTTCCAGAAATTCTGATTCAGTAGTTTCAGGTAAGATCAATAACTGTGCCCTGCCAAGACTTAATAGCACTTGAGGCAAAATGATTAAAAAAAGAATGGTAGTACTGATCCTGTCTCTACTTAAAATTTTGATGTGTTAATCATGAATTGCTTAATTTTTTATTT